TACCCTAACCTTTACCCTGTTCAAGCCGGCGCTGCTAATTGGTTCTGCCTCGATCCTTTGCTCTCAGCCCGCTCCCTTCCGTTTTAGCCCTTGCGAAGCCCGTCCTCTCTTCCCCACAAACACGTCCAAGCAAAGTGTTTATACACGTTGTTGCGAGGGCGTGTTTATCGAACGTACGGTGGCCGTGTATCGCTGGCATGAAGGCGACACGCTAGTGGCCACTATCTTCCTGACGCTGGAATTACACCATTATTGTGCAAATTAGCGAAGACCCATGCATGATAGGGCGACCGGACGTTTAACGGGATTAGAATTAACGTGCCTGCCTTGAGCACCCATTTACAGACACCTTTTGATTACTTTGTACTGCAATCGCTTGTGCAATATCGATACTTTAAAAGGACACAGAGACTAACCTACATTGGCGACATATTACAGATGTCTCTCTTTATCCTATTGTGTAGCTCAGGTTCGACAGGTATTTGCAATTTTGGTTAAACGAAATTTTCACGTTTGGAGATCTGCAAAAGGGACGTGACATTTTGGGATTCTGTAGACATAAGGATTATATAGACTAAAAGTTTGTACAAGTATATACAGAGTTAAATAAAAAATTACTATTTCTAGAAATTCTTGAAAAAAGAAACTAATTTCATTAACGGAAAATAGAGTTTTACTTAACAGGATATTTTCGTGGAACACTGTTTCTTTTTACGTGATCGTTGTTTATCGCGAGGAAGATTTTATTCCGTTGTTAAAACCAGGAGATGTGTAATTGGACCGATAGAGCAGTCGGTAGTCGTACCATCAGAATTTTAAGCGCAATGGCGCTCTGATAACGCGAATCCGGAAATGGAAGTCGGACACGACTCGTGCTACGGGTTAATAGGAAAGTACCTCGTATTTCGGACTCGTTCGTGAATTAGAGGACCGTGATCTAACATTCTATTTGCGTTCAACGAATGAAAAAACATTGGGAATTCATAGTTGATAGTTATCTGCTTCCCGGAAAATGTTATCAATTTAACGCGTTGAACGCGTCGAGCATGCCGTTGAAATCGAAAATAAAATGAGTTTAGCACTGGTGCAACCAAAACAGAATTATTCTATGAAACACGTGATTTATTGATATTTGTACCGAAATTTCTATCTTTCTTAAAATTACAGTACTAATCTTAAGAGATTGAGGAGATTATCATTCCTTTTGGTGATGTAGAAATAATGCAATTCTATAATAAGATAAGTGCTTTAGGTAGCAAGCTAACATCCAAACTGATTGTATATGTAGCATTAATTATCTTGGTGATGTAAAATTTCCGAATTTTCGAAGTTTGAGTTTATAAATTCCCAAATTTCAAATTTCTATAGTCTTATATTCTCAAAATCTCAAATTTGCAAATTTTTAAACGTTCAAAGCTTTAAATCCTCTAATTTCCAAATTTCTAAAGTCTCAAAGTCTCAATTTCCCAATTCCTAATTTCCCCAATTCCCAATTTCTCTAATTCCCAATTTCCCCAATTTCCAGTTTCCTCAATTCCCAATTTTTTCGATTCCAAATTTCCCCAATTCCCAATTTCCCAAATTCCAATTTTCCCAGTTCCCAATTTCCCTAATTCCCAAGTTCCCCAATCCTCAATTTCCCAAATTCTCAATTTTTCCAATTTCCAATTTCCCTAATTCCAAATTTCCCCAATTCCCAATTTCCCGAATTCCCAATTTCCCCAGTTCCCAATTTTCCTAATTCCTAAGTTCCCCAATCCCCAATTTCCCAAATTCTCAATTTTTCCAATTTCCAATTTCCCTAATTCCAAATTTCCCCAATTCCAAATTTCCCCAATTGCCAATTTTCTCAATTAGCAATTTCCCCAGTTCCCAATTTCCCTAATTCCAACTTTCCCCAATTTCCAATTTCCAATTTCCCTAATTCCCAATTTCCCCAGATCCCAATTTCTACAATTCCCAATTTCCTTAATTCTCCAACTCCCTAATTCCCAATTTTCCAAATTCTAAAACTCCCAACTTCCCAAATCTTGCTCACAAATTAAAACAGACCGTACACGAACAAAAACTGCCTAAACCCCAAATCTATGTTCAACCGAGTGTTCCGTATTATCTCAAAATTACACGGCTGCGCAAAAGATTAATGTTCGAACTTCTACAACGCAGTACTTCTGTACGGTCTATCATAAAAAACGGAGTAATATCTACACAACGTTTCCTATTTATAACGCAGTAACTGCACACAAGATAACAGAAATATAATGGTTGTACAAAGGTCTATTAATTACGTAAATTATCTATCATGGATAACTTTCAATGTTATTGCAAAACGTTGAAAATTCACGTCACGGTTATTAAGATGCAAGTTTGTTACATCGTTAACGTCGAGAAAAGGACACAGAATTCGATGGAATAAAATGGCCGACGTCGATGCGTGTCCTTTCATCGTTGCGACCACAACTGCCAGTCTCACCCCTCCCTATTCGACAAAAGTATATTGTCCTATTGTAAATATAAACTGTGTGTATTCCGCAAACCATTTTCCTTGCTATTTGTCGCTTTTCCAGACATATTGCGCGCCACGGTCATTTAACTGTGCGCCTGTTTATTGTATGGAGGTGGCATATGGCGCGAAAGTAACGTCTCTATTATATCCTCTGATAAATGGCCGGTCGTATTTAACGTGGCTAATCGGGATTCATAGGTAAGAAACGCGTACGAGACTGTGCATCCGGATACGCATTTAAGTAGGCGAATGTCTAGTTGAGATTTAACACTTGAACGACCGGTAATGGTTGCATATTTAACCCTTCTTTGGATTATGGTCAGCACCGTCCACGCACATATTTCAACCATGAACATCCTAATACATGTAGCTACGATTAATTCGAAATTTATTTAACTCTTCAATCAGACTTACTACAATTTCTACTCTTTTCGTACTTTATTTGGAATCACTTCGTACGTTACTTTAATTCCAATCTCCAAATTATTGATGCCCTAAATTTACAAATGTAAATTTTTAAAATTCTAAAATTTAAAAAGTTAGTTCCAGTTAAAGTCAGTGTGAACGTCTGAAATATTCGAAACTCCTGTATTTTGAAATATTTTAATTCAAAAATAAAATCTAGATTCATGCCTTATCAACTCTGTGCAATTAACAAAATTCGTGAAAATGTATCAATACCTTCGAGTAATACCCAATGTCCAGTAATGTACATCAAAAAACTTGAGGATTCGACAGATTGTTCTCTATCATTGAACATTTAATCATCCTTGACTGAAAATTTGCGTCGTACCATACTTCTAGCGCGATGGGCGAAATTATGGCTCGAAAAGGAACGAAGGTAAAGGTATAATTAATGTTTGCCAACTTATCGCTGCTGGTCGCAGGAAACTCTTCTCTGCATCCTTTGAACCGTTGGATTTTGCTTGAAGCTCATTAGAAACGCTTGTGCATAACGCGTTCAAGCATCCTTCCTTGTAAATCTCAAGTTACATAAATGCTGCATAATATTATTTACGATCGCAGCTACGAGTAATTTACCGATAAATCAACTCTCAGCGTTTCTAAAGCGGACCCCTCTATCGCGAGCAACATGTGCGTGGAATCACCGAAAACCTACCGGCTCCAATGTTTTTTGGATAACGATTACGACCGTTTACAAGGAAAATACGTTATCGATCTTACTCCACGAACATAATCCGTCTTAACCGAGTGCTCGATATGTAATCGTTTTCGATTGGTACATTCAACGTTGATCGTAACTGTTCACCAAACCGTATCTCCCCCTTAACGGCCGATAAAAATCGGAGAGCCTCGACCTTTTGAACAATTGATCTGTTTTATTGTCAACACGCGACACGTGGTCCCTAAGTAGGCTGTGAAGGTTCATTCACGATTTGTAACATTTTCAGAGATTTTACAACACCTGACCCACATTCCCATTTACCCAGAATGGTTCCTCGCCTTCTAAAAAATATCTTCTCGTAAACACAACGGAGCATTCACTCGAATGTGCAATCAACTAATTTATCCTTCTCGTACCTCCTTCGCATTTTTAATCCTAGCTTAAATATAAATATGGCAGAGATATCTAAATATTGCCAGACTTTTTGAGATTTCCCAATCATCCGCGTAAACCAATACGAATAAACTCCCAAAGGTACATACATCAAATTTATTAGTTAAAATAATATTCCGAACATAGGGTGGTAGTTTATCGATCTGGCGAAACAGGGTGCAGGATGGAAACCTAATAACACCGGTCAGGAAGGATGGATACAAAATCCGCGGTTTCTTTCGTATCGCGAAATCGAATTGATATCCCCCAATGTATACAAGCGTGGTGTATGGAATCGGCATGGCCGTCGACTGGCCTCTCTCCCCGCAACAAGATTATGGTAATTGACTATCCGACTTGGAAACCCCCATCAGGCATATCAATTACGTACGTATGCATCCCAACCGGGAATTTGCCTTTGATCCGCTCAAACTCTGAGGTAACACAATTCACGCCTGCGTCTAATCTCAAATGGGATTGCCTGATGGCACAAGGGACATCGAAATGGGCTTTTCCGACTTCACAAGAACGCGGGACCGTTTCGATACCGTGCCCGTACCGGATACACCTCTTACGCCGACGATAATCCGGTTACTTCTTCCCTCTGTGCACGACCACACGTATTGAGCGCGGAAATGATTTCCAGGATTTCCCTCCTACCCACCCCGTACACTCCGATACAACCCACACTTCTTTCAAATAAGGATCCATCGATAAACTTCACAATTCTTTTATTGTAAAGTTTTCAATTTTTCTAGTTTCCTAACATTGAAATTCCAAATTTTAATAAAACGAAACGGTTGGTCACTAATATGGACGTAATCGCTGATGCATGCATTTAATAACATATGCGCAGTATTCGTATCAGTTTTGACGGCGTCGAACATTGTTGTAGCTCACGTTACGTTCGTGGACTTTTCGTTCTGAAGCATCAACACATTCTTGATAGCGATGAGCGAGAAGCGCGATAATCTTTATCACACTATAAAAAGATTGTTCGGTCGACATTCGTTTCAGAAAGTTCGCGGGTACGAGGACGATATGACGTGGTTCACGATTTTCACGACTCTTCTGGCCGTGCAGTTCACCGTCGGCATTTCGGGTAAATCAGCAGATTTATGGTTCTTGCCGGGTGCCACCCTTTCCCTGTTGGACCATAGATATCCTACCTTCATCCCTTTGCCACTCGAAACGTCCCTTCTCTTTCCGCTCGGTCGAAAATTTATCGTCTTTCTCTTTCGAAACGTGAAACAACCGGATTTGGTCACAAAACGCGAGATCGATTGCAAGATGATCGGTGATGGTGTTTTAAATCGAATTTCGCGATTCCAGATGTTGTGGTGATCATCCCACGATTAGAAGATGTTGTAACACTGCAGTTGGAAGAAGAATATGGAATAGAGAACTGTGAAGTTGAAACGAGCACTGGTCAGAAATATCAGTATATACCCATAGGCTTTGGAAGTATAATTGATCGAAAAGTTTTTCCTGATTCCTCCCGTACTTGTGACATCCGAATTAAAAATGTGGCATTGGAGGATGCTGGTCTATGGAAAATAACAACGTACTTTAATACGACTGACCGTCCACCTGTTACAAAGACATTCAAGCTACTCGTAGCACAGGTACTGCCTTACACTTTGAATAAAATTGTATAAATTAGTCGAATGCTGTAAACTATATGTAACATTCGTTAGCACTGATATATAATGGAATCTTGACATTTCTTTGCGTCAGAGGCTCTAATCCCAGAATAGAAAGATGCGTGGAACCAATAACACGTTAACTATACACCATGTTATGTATAATCACGCATTAATATAATCATAATGTACTAATTACGCGTTATACCAATACGTTGTAACACTCACACATTGTAACAGCTACACGTTGTAATAATCACGCGTTATATGCGTTGCAGTACCCCGCGTTATAATACCCACATGTTATAATATCCATACGTTGCTACGTCCACACACTGCAAAACCTACGCGATGTAATCCTCCCACGTTACAATATCCACACGTTGTATATTTATACACTGCAAAATCTACACGTTGCAATAACTCCGTGCTGTAAGACCTATGAGTTATAATAATACTCACACGTCGGAATATCCACGCGTTGTATATCTATACGTTGCAATAACCACGCGTGGTAACACGCACATTCCAATAGCTTCGCGTTGTAATATCTACATGTTATAATCTCCACACGTTGCAGTACCCCGCGTTATAATACCCACATGTTATAATATCCATACGTTGCTACGTCCACACACTGCAAAACCTACGCGATGTAATCCTCCCACGTTACAATATCCACACGTTGTATATTTATACACTGCAATATCTACACGTTGCAATAATTCCGTGCTGGAAGACCTATGAGTTATAATACTCACACGTCGGAATATCCACGCGTTGCATATCTATACGTTGCAATAACCACGCGTGGTAACACTGCAATAGCTTCGCGTTGTAACACCTACGTGTTATAATCTCCATACGTTGCAGTACCCACGCATTGTAATTCTCTCGTGTTACAATGTTATGCTATCAGATGAAGAGTACGTAAAAGAGTAATATTTACGCAAATTATGTTTTATAGGAAATCGGAGTGGTTCCTGGACCTATAACGGTAACCGGTGGTTACTTCGCATATGTGAAGCTCGATATGGACAAAAGAAATGTCACACGTTGTGTTGTTAATGTAATGTGTGAATCTACCGTACGTAACCTTTATTTTATGTTTTATATATTTAGGTCTAGAAATTTATTTTCTCGAGATATCCATTTTTTTCAATGATTATAGCTATTATTTATAACTATTATTATTTATACAGAAGAGGAAACATATGCAAATCGATCTTCTAAGTGATAACACCACGGATTTTGAAAGATTTGGACCGTGTGGATTTAAAATGCTGGCACACATAAATAGCACTCATATCTGTACACCATCGGAACTCGTAGCAGTCGTTGAAGACAAATTTGTTTATACTAGTAAAGTTAAAATCAACATCGTCCATAATATAGAGAAACCTGAAAAGATGGTGAGTCACTTTCTAAGTACTGGAAACCACTTCATATATTTTTAAATATATTTTTATTACTATCTTATGGATCTTCAGATATAAATGGAACTTTTTTTTGTTTTTAAAAACCTGATTCTCTAAAAAGGTCTCTTAATTCTTCTCTGTGTTTAATCGTTACATATGTAATGTTGTTAAAACACATATTTGTTTCTTCGCTGCCGTATCTAGTGAGATGTCCGATACATATCGGGATTCGAAGTCTTAATAAGTTTACGACATGAAGGTAGCTGCCTAAGTAAATTACTAATCGCATAATTATCATCAGACGTAGTAGCAGCGTTAATCTCGATTTCGATACCTGCTGCTTCTCGCTGTATTTGGTTTCGGTAAACACTACATCGAGTTAATTGAAGATTATAGGTACTCAGGAAATATCGATTATCAATATGAGACCTCGAATACTGCTCGTGAGGAAGCTGTTGATAAAGCGTCAACTTGTTGTCGTTGATTTTTAGTTTACCTTCGACCTATTTTTCGGGTAAACAGTGGAACTTCGATTTATCGTTTCTGAAGGGAGTTATTCAACTAAATGATAAATGCGTGCACAATAAATTCACGAACATGGGAACATAATTAAGATTAAACGAAATAAGTTTACAATTCGTTGCTCAATTGTTATGTTTTGTAGGGGATGTATACTGTTTTCAGACAACATATTGTTTTAATAGATGACGCTAATAGTTTTCTTTAAATTTAAAAAGTTCCGCTACTTTTCCGACATACTGTGTACAACAAATTTCTTTAATAGATACTGAATCTTTTTATTCTTCGTTTGTACATCTTTGTTTTCAGGAAATAACCACGCTAGATCGTGGAAAAAGTGGTAAAGTGATATTTTCTGCGAAAAGTAGAACCACGTTTTGCCAACTCGAAGGACCTATGGGCTTGAAATCACTCCTTTCTGAAGACTGTATTTATAACATACCCGCAGTTACAAATCGACACGATGGTATTTGGACTGCACGTTATGGCATACGAGGAAATCCTGTTCCTATTATTGAACGCTTCAGAGTTGTTGTTCGTGGTAAGTTTGTACCATTTACATAAAAAGGGAAATGTAGACATTAGTCGTTAGGTTAACACGCTTTATATCACTCGTGTGTTATGTTGCTGCGCATTGTGTCACACATACATCGTGTCGTGTTATTCGCATGTTACACCACTTATACGTTGTAATTATTCACATATTGAGTCACTTAGGCGCTGTATCACATGTTGCATCACTCACTCGTTATATTGCCACGTGTTGTATCATTCACGTGGCATATCTTGATGTAAAAGGCCGTAGTCAGTTGCTTCTCTATGTGTACACGTAAGTACAGATGAATATTCGTTTTCTTGGGTTGAAACGCTCCATATATGGTTTTAGATGCGAGAAAAATTGATACTAACGTTACAGTGACAGAAAATAACGAAATCCAACTGTCTTGTCACGTTTATGGCGAACAGGGAGTTCCCTATAGTTTCTGCAATTTTATCAGACCAGATGGATACGTGCTGAATCTGGAACCTGGTATCGGAACGGAAAGGTAAGTTTCGCTGCTGGACATTTATAACATTACGAGAAAACATCATTTTAAAAATTTCGTAATTAGTTACTTCTTACTTTCTTAACTTTCCAATTTCGTGGATCCACAGTTTCTAAATTTGCCAATTCTACAAACTTTCGTGTCTTCAAATTTCTGAATTCTCAGATTTCAACATTCCCAGCTTTGTTACTCCTCAATTCTCAAATTTTCCTTTTCCAACCTGCCTAACTTTGTCACTCTCCAATTCTCAAATTTCTCATTTCTAGCATTGCCAATTTTGTCAATCTCCAATTCTCAAATTTCTCATTTCTAGCATTCCAAATTGTGTCACTCCCCAAATCTCAAATTTCCAATTTCACAACTTCCAATTTTGTCACTCCCTAATTCACAAATTTTCTATTTTTAATATTCCCAATTTTGTCACTCCCTAAATCTCAAATTTCCAATTTCACAACTTCCAATTTTGTCACTCCCTAATTCACAAATTTTCTATTTTTAATATTCCCAATTTTGTCACTTCCCAAATCTCAAATTTCCAATTTCACAACTCCCAATTTTGTCACTCCCCAATTCACAAATTTCCTATTTCTAACATTCCCAATTTTGTCACTCCCTAATTCTCAAATTTTCCTTTCCAACCTTCCCAACTTTGTCACTCCCCAATTCTCAAATTTCTCATTTCCAACCTGCCTAACTTTGTCATTCCCTAATTCAAAATTTCATAGTTCTGTAATTCCCATATTTCCAAGCACTCATTCTGAATCTTCAAATTTTCGAAGTCCGAATTTCCCACTTCCCTTAACTCCTTAACTCTTAAATTCCGTCCGTGCCCTGTTCTCTTCATTTCTTAATTTCAAAAGTCCGAAGTGCCCGATCATTAATTTCCCACAAATTCAAATTTCTTGATTTCCCAATCTCCCAATATAACGTGGACCAACAAACTATTAATTTACAAAAATTCAACAATCAGTTACAAAAATTCGAGTAGCGCCATCACGATATTCCTGCTAACACGAAACGATCGTTTGAAAAAAATGCGTTATATCCGATTACAAACTTTCAACGAATTAATACGTCGAAAAGGAAAGCGCTTATGAAACACTGGTGAAAATCAAGTGATCATCCCTTTTGTCACGTGGTACTGTTTCCCTTTGATTTACGAGTCAGGTCAGCGTGCCGTTTCGCGTCGATACAGCGATGGCCGATCCATAATTATCGCCGTATTGTAAAGCACTTAGCCTTTATGACTACACCGGAGTGCATAGCCATTGGAATTTTTGAAAGCCAGAAACACTCGTGTAAAGCCGTTTGTTCCGGTAAATAATAGTGCATGTGGCAATAAATAAACTGGACCGAAGGGGATGGTTGTTCACGGTGGTGCGTAATATAACGGCCATACTATTGCACGATGGTACGTCACGCACACTAAACGAAAGAAAAAAAACAGGAATTACACGTGCAGAATAGAAGACAGTAAATATGTGCAAATGAATCGAAGGAGATGATCGGAATTGATGACTCGCGGGGAATCACGGTTGTTACAATTAAAGTTACACGTTTGTCGAGCTACACGGTTGCACGCAATATTCTCGTCCAACTCGTTATATACGAACTTATCTTTTTTATGAACTTGTTCTTTTATGTTAACTGTTAAGTAAATTGTCACGATCAAATTTTGGAGTTGGAAATTTAGAAATTTAGCAATTTGGGGATTTGCGAATTTAGAAATTTGGAGAATCACGAGTTGAGAAATTGGGATTTGTGAAACTTTGAGGTTTTTAGACTTTTGGAAATTTAGCAATTTGGGATGCAGAAATTTTGGAATTTGGAAATTTAGAAATTTAGGGAATCACGAGTTGGGAGATTGGGATTTGGAAGTTTTGGAGTTTTTAGGCGTTTGGAAATTTAGCAATTGGGGGTTTTGGAAATTTAGAAATTTAGCAATTTGGGGATTTGGGAATTTAGAAATTTGGAGAATCTCGAGTTGAGAAATTGAGGTTTGCGAAACTTTGGGGTTTTTAGACCTTTGGAAATTTAGCAATTTGGGAATTTGGGAATTTAGAAATTAGGGGAATCACGAGTTGGGAGATCGAGATTCGGGAAATTTTTAGGTTTCTGGCCGTTTGGAAATTTGAGATTTTAGGGTTTTTGAAATTCAGAAATTCAGGTATTTGAAGATTCGAGGATTTGAAGACCTGAATATTTGAAATGCATAGTTATTAGAGAATTTGAAAGTTTAGAAATTTGGGGCATTCGAGATATGAAAATTTTGTAATTCGGGGAAATGAGAATTTTGAAATTTAGAAATTTGAGGAATTGAGCGATTGAAATGTTTAATCCCCTAGAGACAGAAATACAGTATTAAGTCATAGTAACGTAGTAAGTGAATATAGTATTAACATGTGGTGAATATGTTAGTGTTAAAAGCATCAGTTCTTATTTATTATTTATACATTTTACAACAGATCTTGATAAGATGTACATAACACTTGGTAATTAATACGATTACTTACAATGTGAACTAATTACAAATCATTCTTATTTATCATAAAATAGACAAATGTTCCACATACTTTTTCACACTGCCACAGTGCAAGAACCACATAATTTTAAAATACCTATTAATTTTAAAAATCGATTACGAACAATTCGTTGATTGAAATCGCATCATTTCTAAAAGCGAATGACATAATTAATCGTGGTTTTTGTTCACGTTACAGATACAGAGCATTTAACGTATCGCAATTCGACAAATTCGGGAGAATAAGCAACGTAAACTGTGGTTTGGTTATAAGTCAACCTAAGCAGTATGATTACGGTGGTTGGAAATGTGGCATAGGTTCATATCAATTTTACATCGGTTCGATAATTTACGTTGACCCTCGTATAATAAATGCAAACGAAACATACGTCAAAGAAATTGAGGTTGTTACGGAGAACGTCTACGTGAAACGCAACGATTCATTCCAGGTAAATTTTAAACGTTACACGCATGTTATACATGTATGTACATATGTTATGTGCAAGGATCATATGATAATATGCAAGAATCTTTATATATTATTTTATATATTTTATTCCATTTTTCAATTATTATTTTGTCCGTTATTTTGTGTACTTTACTTATTCTTACTTATTATTTAGAATATTATTTTATACATTTTATTCTTTTTTTACTTATTGTTTTACATATTATTTTATGTATTTTATTCTTTTTTTACTTATTATTTTGCATATTATTTTATGTATTTTATTCTATTTTTACTTATTATTTTACATATTATTTTAATGTATTTTATTCTTTTTTTATTTATTATTTTGCATATTATTTTATGTATTTCGTTCTTTCTTACTTATGATTTTGTATATTATTTTATATATCCTATTTACTTATAATTTTATGTATTATTTTGCTTATTATTTCACAGATTAAATGTACTGCGGACAAAGCTTTGAGTTACTGCTGGTTTCAAAGTCCTAATGGCACATCGTACTCAGTTTCTAAAAACCAAAAACAATCACCTACCACCCTCCCTTACGTAGGGTTAGGATTGAAGCTTGGCGAATGCGTCGTGCAAATTGATCACGCTACTCACGCAGATCATGGTGAATGGACTTGTAATCTTGGAGTTCTTGACGGCCCCGAAAAAAGTCAAAAGTTGTTTGTAAACGTCACAGGTAAAATCTGACAAATCTGTTCAACGTTATCGCTGTCTTTCAAATTATTTCGAAACGTTTAGTATTTCACTTGATCTCAGTATTATTCAATAATTGTGGTTTTATAATTAATCTGTGTAAACGGCAAAACCATAACTCAAAGTTGCAGGTTTAATATACTTAAATTCCCGTTACATTTTAGAAGTTGTAATTTCCAAATTTAGAAATTAGTTCAGAAATTCAAACATTTCGAAATTCACAAATTTACAAATATGAAAACCAGAAAATTTGTAATTTCGAAATATAAAAATGTAATACTACATAAATTCTTCTACATGCATCGAAATTACTAAATTTTGAAGATAACGATATTACAATATAATAATAGTTACATTATCGAAAGTGTCTAATTTTTCCTCTCGTTTATGACACAACAAATTTATAGAAAGCTACGTAATTCCGGAACATTCAATATTGGTGGCGAACTACGAAGACGACATAACGTTATCGTGTGGTATACTTCCAAACCTAACGGATATAGAAGTTGTTTATTGCCGTTGGATCCATCCCGATGGGCACGGAATTCACAATAGCTTAAGTCAACGATACATGGTTAGCCAAACTGACACGCAATGCAGATTAATGATTCCAAGTAAGTGATTTGTGTTCTGTGCTAACGTACCCGCTAATGCGACAAAGTCGACGTAATTGGGATGCAAAACAGGTTACACCGATCAGATTAACTGCGAACAGCGATCAATTACAAAGCTCATCGATTCTGTTCGATAGAAAGATGTCTTACTCCAATAATTCCTATCTGCATTTACAAACTTAAAATTTCTAAATTCGAAACTGTTTTAAAATTGAAAATTTCCGAATTTGAATATCTGTATCTACATTTCTGGGTCGCAAAATTCGAGAGTTTGTAAATTTAAATATTTCTAAATTCAAAGACTTCGAAGTTATACATGAACTGCAAATTCCGAGTTTAAAATTTTCAAATCTGAAAGGAGATTTTTCGAAATTAACTTCCTACAAAAAAAAAAACAGAAAATCCATTTCACAAAAATCTAATTGCAGTATCGATCAGTTGTAAAGAGTACAAACAATGAAATAAAATCTATTCCATAAACGTCGTCAAAGGAAGAAAAAAAGGGGGTAGGTGTGACAGAGTCCATTTCCAATAATTGAATTAACAGCTGCGACATTTCGTGTCGTAATCCGTAGGAAATAACTGTGATAAACGTTAACAGCGTCGCTCATTGTGCTTCATAAATAAAAGTGCTCGCAAATCCCATTGATTCGACGTTTCTCTCTTATTTGCATATATCGAACGTCGCTCCCTCGCGCCGCGCGCGTTTTCAATTAAGTTCATGTAACTTCACGGGTACAGATCATTCCGGTCTCGTCGTCGCGTATCGTCGAAAATTACCCGATAAATTAAACTCTAGTCGCCGTTACAAGATATTAATACCCGTCCGAGTGCTTTTACCGTATTAACTCCGTGCAACTGAAATTTCATCGTGTTCAAATATTGTATCGTTATCGGCTGTTTTTGCGCGAGCTACCGTAACGTTAATTATCACCGATTGTAATCCTTCCGACGAAACAGAAAAAGCCTTTGGCTCCGCAACCTCGATCGAGACAAAACGATCGTTTCCTCGCGATAATTTCTCTCGAGATTATGCGTCGTTCTTTCTCGGAGAACCCTTTGATCCGCTTCGACCCCCAAACTTTCAAAGACGCGAGTTTGTTCGGAAATCAGAGGGTAAGAACAGGGCCAAAAGTATCCCACGCAGAACGAATACCAAAGTGGTTCCAATTTGTACACTCTTACCGAAACGGAACGCAACATCGCTTACAAAGAATCAGCAATTTCGTTCCGCCCCGTGGAAACTTCTTGCTCTAGCAGTGTCGGAATACCAACAACCGCACGAACACGTTGGAACCGAGTCGATTTCACGGGACCGTAAAGTACCGACTGGGGGTCACTTAACTTCCGGTGTCCTCCGACCGGATGGAAATTCGAATTTTCACGCGGCGAAACTTTCCATCGAGCGTTTCTTCTTTCTCGAGGGAATCGCGAGAATTTACACAGGGAACTATGATGCGTTCGAGGGTAGTTTTTTAATTTAGAAACTTATTATGAACTTTCGTGTCTCGGATTCGCTGAACATTTTTAAGCTGAATAATTAGAAAAGATGCTTGTTATCAATTTTCTGAATTTACGAATTGATTTGCATTTCAGGCAAATACAGCGAAGAAAGTATCGGCAGATGGACCTGTGTTGCTGGGTTGTACGGTCTTAGAGACGAGGAGGCATGGGCAACCATAACTGTTCACTCACAGTCTACAACGACATATTGTATTATAACGATTATCAGCGTAATTGCATCTCTTCTTATGATTTTTTGCATTGCGAGTTACATTTACGTTCACAGGAAACGACGTATGCCCACGGAAGATTCATCGTGTACATATAATGATAAGAGTAATTTGGTACAGTTTTTCGGTAAAATTTATCCTGTAATTGGAAAGTGCAACAAGTCGATCAGCCAAACGAATCTCGAGTGAATTACCGTACGGACACAATTTATTGGAAGTTACCCCTCGATATTCCAGCCAAGAAGGAAAATATGCTAAGGACCGCATAAGGATCGCAGAGGGGTAAGAAAAAAAGATGGTGGTTACAGAATCGTTTCTCTTCTGTAACCACCATCTTTTTTTCCTACCTATCTTTTTCACCCTCTTGGTTTCACCCTATTCTTTCATTTGGTTCTCTGGCTGTTTCAAGTGTGTGGGATGGAATAAACTTGCGAAAATATTTAAATACGTCGGATGATTAATGTCATCCATTTTGTATTTTACATGTTTGAAGTATTAAAGAAATTTAGTCAAGAATTGTCTTATTTACTTTTATTATAGCGCAAGAAAGTTGAGGATTTAGAATAATTAATGAGATTAATGAGTTAAAATCTAATTCTCTTTTGTAGTTTATTGAACTCAAATGTTCCCTAATTTCTTAGTTTTGAAGTTGCCAATTTTAGAACTTCCATGTTTAAAAATTTGTAAGTGTCAAATTCGTAAATTTCCATATTTTAAAAATTTATAAATTACTGAAATTCCAATTTAGCAAAAGTCTAAGTTTCTGAATGTCTGATCCTCTAAATTTCTAAATCACTGAATTCTCAATTTTCAAAATCTCCACATTTCTAAATTACAAAACTTCAATTTATTAAACTTCCAAATTACAAAATTTCCGAAGTAATTCCACGATTCAATGATTTCTCAACTTCACAGTTCCACAATTTAACAATTCTACAATTCTATTCTCCAATTACGAAATTCACCACTTCTCTACTTCCTAAAGTTCCCAATTCTCTCCAATTTCCAAGTTCCGCAATTCTCCAGTTTCCCCGATTCCTCTTTCTAACATTCTAGCCTCCAAATTGTCAAATTCCAGACTTCGCCAAATAATCAAGCATTTGATTATCGAAAAAATTCGACTGTATTTAAATGTACGAATAAAATGCTTCAGTACGTCGGATTGAAAATCGCAACGACGAAAGTCGCTCATTCACACGTGGCCATTATGCTCGCAACGTCTGCGACGTTAACTGGCACTGCGTGCCGCAGGAATGCCTTGCAATGACGAGTTAACTCGTCATCCCTGGTTAACAGGTTAATGGCGGGAAAGAGACGAAGGAACAGGCTCGTCCGCGTGCAAAAGGGGAGAAAACCATTAAGGCTCGCGCGGAAATGAAATTATAACTGTATACACTCGGACCGTGACGGTTTTCTACGCGAGCTTGCACAGGTTTCCTCCGTTAACGAACTGCACTCGTGGACGAAAATAACTTCCACGCAGACTGTCGTTGACAGTTTTTGTTCGTTAAGAACGGGATTTGTAAGCATTCGTTTCCACCGTACTCGATTTTCTTTGCGCAGCCCCAACGTGCCGGGGTGGAAAAAAAAGAGACGAGGGAAAAGGAAGCTGAAGAGGGGCGAGAGAGTGGGAAAGAGAGCAACCGATAGGAAGCTCGCGAGGATTTCAGAGCGACGGAATTACTTCCATTTACAGCGGCCCGATAACGAGTTATTGGATTTCGAAAGATTGAAATTGTTATCTGACGTTCCTAAAGACCCACATTACAATATTTCTTGAAATGTCTGACGCCCCGAGCTACTATATTTCTACTACGATGCCGTTCCCGGGATAATTTGCATTCTTAACGCTAACTAACTTATGAGTGTACATTATAATGAACCGTATAATGTATTCTAAAAAAAGTATGTACATACAAAGTGGTGGAGAAACATGATTCAATACTTAAGGGACTTGTACTCAAGGTGCAAAAAGGCCTGATACTCTAACATTAACCCCTTCCCGTGATTTGACGAGTCTCACTCGTGACGCACTTACAGCTCAAACGTGATAAACCTTACTCAAACTTTGAACATTCCTCAAGTTGAAATTTAGGTCCAACTATAAGTTGCATTATCAAGGATCCCTGAATATAAAATACTCACAACATTTTAATTTTCTTTGTTCGTTTTAATGTTACAGCCTTGGATAGTTAGTCTTGACTGACGCATCTGATAAATAAATGACACGGGAAGGGCTTAAGTTTCATTTTTTAAGAACGTTTCAATTCATGATCCTTTTAAGAGGGTGTAGCAAGATTATGCACTGATATCAACAGAAATTATTTGTTGGTATCATTCTGCTTCCGGAGACACAATATTATTATACTATCAACAATTTGTTGTTTGTGTCAAATTTCCAAAGATTGTAGACACAAGATTATTATGCATCAGCATGAAGATTATTTGTTGTTATTGTTCTACATAACTGATTTTCCTCGTAACATAGTCCATACACTTAGTAAACGTTATACATGTTGACCGCACAAGGGTGAACTAAGATTTAAATTAACATATCTCAATAAATCGTCACACAAATTTTCATTGAAAAGACTTCTGTATAAAAATATGTGGCACATCTGTCGGTTTATGTTTTAAATGTGTATTAAAACAGCTCCGTTTATATTATCTTGTGGTGCAATTTTAGCTTTGATGTTTTATATTCAGCAACGTTTAATGTTTCATATAAAATACCGATTAAAATAGAAATAGGTAAATAAATAAAACCAAGCGGAATATGAAGGTGAAATTTCCGTGATTTATCTGTTATTGCATCAGATCGGAAATATTTTATTTCCCACAATTTGTATGATTTGTATATTCTATACGGTTCATTTTGTTCTTGTGCATTTAACATGAGTTCTCTGTGTTAATGTGCAGTTGTATTTTCATACGTTAATGCGCATAAATTATAATAATTATTTTTCAATAATGGTGCTCATTTACAACATACGAATTTCTGCATAATGCAAAACAATCGATATAATAAACACAATTTGCTACCGTGAATGCTTTAGAAGATGCAACGGTACGTAAAATACAAATTATGTAGAGTGTCATAGAACGTATTTAATAAATACGTTTAAAGAATTTCGAGGCAGACCATAAAAGAAAGATTAATCTCAAAGCAGTGAGAGTTGCTTGGATCGTTGATCTAAATTACGAGGAAAGGAAGAAAGGAGCAAAGACGTGTCCTGTTATCGATGCTTCCATTTGCCCGCCCTGTCTCTTTACCCTTACCCGCCCCTTGCCTATTTCATCCACTGCGAGAACTGCACCGACACGAAACGTATCCTTTACTTATCTTTATTTCCAAATACTTTTGCAAATGGTCACATATAAAAGTTGGTAAGATTTTAATCATTTGAATATTAGGCCTCTTACATTTTGTTGCAATCGCATTTTATTAGGCTACTATTATTTTACTGTTCTAATTTTTTGTTACACTACTGTACTACAACACTTTGATATATCACTCTTTTACTATATTATAACATTGTACTGATGCTTCATTATTTTATTATCTTTTTTCAGTAAACTATTTCACTAACATATTTCGCTTTTCCTAGTTTGTCATTTTGTCATTTAATGCTTTATCATTTTATTACTTAATTATTTAGGTTGTTTTAATATAATACTATTTTGTTGTACATATTTTACCATTTCACTATTTCAGTATTCCCCCATCTCACTATTTTATTTAAGCAAAGGATTCTTTTAATAATTATTAAAAACAATATGAATTCACATGAAATTTCGCAGTAATCTTCAAAAGAACATGAACAGTTATAAAAAAAAAATCAAAGCTTGAAATACAAATTGAACTGCAGTACATTATAGTTATCTGAACGTTAAATGTCTAAATGAACCTAGTTAAATAACTTACAGTTAATAAATTTCCCTCAAGATTTCCGTTTCACGATCGTACAAAACATCAGACGAAGAGTTTCGCGATCAAATAAGATATCTGGCACATACAGCCAAAATACAAAGACAGAAACAGAGGCGGTCCAGGAAAAGCTGGTGAAGTCGTAACGACGCGACAGGGCGAGCTACAGTAAATCCCGGACTGATATCTTGAGCCCCGGGTTAATCCACCGCCTAGATTACTCTCCGTTGCTTAGTACGCCACGAACGTGTGTGTATATGTGCATCCTGTGTGTGTGTGTGTGTGTGGACGGTCGAGTTAGAGATTGCCAGTAACAAAAAGGAGCCGCCGCGAGAGCGAAAGATTGCTGCCACGCTGGTAATTTCGCCGGATTAATATTTAATATCCTGAACAGCGGCCTGAAGAAACGGATAGAGAACGTGGAAAAGAACATTCTCCATCTTGCTCCCTCTTTCTGTCTCTGTGTAGGTGTCTCTTTGTGATCACCACGATCATCGTTTCTGTCCTCGTTCGAAAGCAAACGATGGAAGCACGCCCATGTTTGCTTTCGTTTCACCGTTGATGTCTAACCCTTGACCCACTGTCGCACTGGGTCTCCGGGAAAACAACGACACAATCTTCCGCCGGAATTGCTGCCCTCTCAAATGAGAACCGATCGCGTGTTTCGTGCTTGCACGTAATCACACGCGGCTCCTCGGCCTCTTCAACAATCGGGGTCTTCGATGTATCTTGCGATCTCGCAGAAACCGTGACGTTTGGTAAAGTAACTCGAAAAGCATGCATTTTTATTGTACAAGTTTTGACTGATTCTGAAAACTATTAAATATTAAATATTCTAAAATAGAGGAACTACTAGAACTACCAACCAGTTGAAGCGGTTTCAAGTTTTACATTTTATGTTACAAAATTTGATTGTTATACTTCCGTCAAAATGTCATGTCTCGAATGTTAAGATAAAGGATCGTTGTATATGTTCATTGATATTTCAGTATTTATTTATTTATTCACTTCATTTGCACATTTCATGTCAGTGCTGATAAAGAAATTATGAAAGCAACACAAAGAAAATGGAATCTGAATTTTCGTTTGTCGAACAGCTTTAATGTCCACTTTAATGTCAATAGAAATACGATCAAATAGAAAGTTGTACTCGATAAAAGCAAATTTGAAAATTGTGCAATTACGCCACTATCAAATAAAGATTCCAGTATCATTGAGAGGTATACGAAGATATTCAACTACCTACGTGAAAAACGGCGCGAGCTTTCAGGCTGACCTAATACGTATCACCATTTTTTCCTCGATTTTGGTTGGCGAAAAGAGATCGGGAAATTTAAAAGGATCGATTTATGCGACTGAATAGAATTCGACCAACCAAAGGAATTCACTATGACAGGGAAATACTATGTCGCGGAAACAATTCGACAGGATGGAATTGCTGACCGATGAAACGGAAGTCGATCGAACTTTTCTCCATTCGAAGCTCCATGCAATCGTACACGTTCCCCTCTCTCTCTCTCATTCTCTCTGTCTCACCCTTTCTTTCTTTCCTCTCTTTCGCCCAGTTCGACGTTCTCC